TCTGTATTGCATATTCACATATTTTTATGTCTTGATGACAATAAACGTAGGTTTAATATCTTATTGTATTTATTATTAGTAATACTTTTATTATTACACTTTTAACGGTGTTTAATACCCGCTTAAACATAAGGAATTATTATACTATCAAGTCAAGTTTGGCCATGTAAAATAATAATCATTGAAGCAGATATCTTAAAAATTATTTCGTTTAATTTACTATCAGTATGTCCTATAGCACTTACAATAAGAATTGATATATAATAACTTAGAATAAAGATATGTTCAAATGAGCAGCAACTTTGTAATAAAAACAAAAGAAAATCGTGAAATAGTAAGCCCGAAAACGTCTCAAGTGTCAAGATCTCTATATCTGTTTACAGCATCTTGACTAATGACGTCATGTGTCTCGCGCAGTACGATCGCGAACGGCAAATGACTCGCGATGAATTTAAAATTTGAACTTGGAACACTCGAGCGCTAACGAGGGGGGCGGCGTTGTGCAATATCGATATTGTACACTACACAGCGAGTCATTTACGAACTGTCGTGAAGCGATCGCGTGTTAGGCGCGTCGTTAGTGGAGGATAATTAATAAAAGATAGTGTTTAAATTTTAAAAGATATTGGAAAACTAATTGAGTCTATTATGAAAATTGAATTAGAAACTCTCGGACGCTACAGAGGGACGACGTTCTGTAATATTGATGTTGTTAGGATCATCAAGTCATCGCTTGCTACGTAAATATCGTCGAAAATATCTTTTTCGAGAATAAAAACTCTTCTAAGAGACAAACAAGTAATATGTATAATATTATATTGCATAAATTGTTGTATAATATTGCATAAATTACTGCCATGTTTACAACGGCTGAATAATACCCGATTACCTCTGCAACTATGTCAAGGATAAAAAAGAAACAAAATATTGACTCGAATTATAAAACAAAGGCATGAGGAAAAGTATACCTAACTTTTATAATTTTTTTAGAAACAAAGTTGATATGACTTTAAAAGTATAGTAATGAAAGAAGTAAAAAATATATTAAGTCTCTGTTTATTCCTCGGGGCCGATGATAGAGCTAAATGTGTATATAATTCACATCACAAATCAGGCGTTATAACTTTTCTCCGATCCGATAAACAAACATTAAAAATTATAGAAAAAAATCGTAAAAAAACATCACACAGCTAACAGCACTAAAACGTTACAGCTCAAACTTTTTTTATATTCCAATTTAAAGTCGCTTTTATTTTGTAACGGCCACTCGCCGAACGGCGGGATCTGTTGCAACAACGTTCCACATCGGCCGCCGAGATGGACCACAGGTTAAAAATACACGCGCCGCGGGTGGCCCCGCGGATGGGAAATCAATTATTACCAATTAACACGTGCGGCAGGAAGCGCTGTTGTACACAAGACTTTAAAAACGCCACGACAATGACGGCGTACGTAAAAAAAAAACAAAAGCCTGCACACGAAATACTCTTAGGTAAGGAATTTAAAGTAAAAGTAAAGTAACAGCCTATACATGTCCCACTGCTGGGCAAAGGCCTCCTCTATACAGAGGGTATCGTCCACCACGCGGCCCCACTGCGGAATGGCGGACTTCACATATCTTCGAAAAATATTTTTTATGTTATTATTTCGAAAATATGCAGGTTTCCTCACGATGTTTTCCTTCACCGCGAAGCATGTGATAAGTCAGCACTTAAAGTTAAAAACTTCATTGGTGCCGGCACCGGGGATTGAACTCAGGTTGCTCGAGTATATTGAATTAAAGGCGAGCGCCCGTACATAGCTATCACGGCTGTAATGTAACGAATATGAATATACCAAATCAAAACGTACACATAAACTATAGATAAAAAAAAAAGAAAAATCACTTCGGATATGGAAAACAATGACAATCCTTTGGGAACTGTAATTAGCCGTTCATAACGTACATAAAACTGCGCGTTCGAAAATACACACTTTTTTTTCATCGTTCTAAGTTTTTACAACGTTCAACGTTTTTATTCCGACAACACGTAAAAGGTCACACAATTTTGATAAATCGAATCTCGAACGCGGCGTTTTCCACGGCCGCAAAAAAGTAAATAAAACACCGACTCGCAAATAAAATGACGCTAATATTTATTAACTATGCCTAATTGCGTTCCAAAGCAACCACTATAAGGAGACACGCGATCCGCTGCATGTTATATAGAAGATGACTGCAGTTTCAGATCAAGTTTGACTAGTTATCGCCCCTGTCGCTCCGTGAGTCAGCCAGTGTGGCCCGAATTTGGCATTTCCATGCTAATGGCACTCATTGCCCGCCAATCAGTTTAGCGTTCGACATTTGCCGAACGTATTACGCGAAGCGATGTGCTAAGTCGGCAACCGGGCCGCCATCTTGGCACGCGTCTAATAATCATGGAGGCGTTCCAAATTTGATTACGTCCGAGGTACCTACTCCCGTGTACTAAAATACGAACAATGAAGTGAGGTTATACAAAACCGTAGAATTAAATCGAGCCACAGCACACAGGCACATTTGGCGTCTCTCATCTTATCATCTTCAGGCGTCTCTCATCTTCTCTAGTTTCTCCTATCTCTGCTCATTTGAACATTGTAAACCTACTAATACTACATAAAAAGGTTTTTTTACCTACTACTAATACTACATAAAAAGGTTTTTTACCTAGTGCTGTGAGGTTGAGTCGTAGCTTGACTTACTAAATTCGAATCCTAGGCACCCGTACCAATGACAGTCGATCGTTTTTCGCATTCACCAAATAGCAATATAACGCACTTCTGTACAACAGACTCATAAACCTGGCTTGTTGACTCATAAATGATGATGGTAAAATATGAGAAAAAAGCAACGAACAGGAATTGAACCACCGCTTAAACAAATTCATTGCGTAACGTGATTAGACACGTACATGGGCTTCGGCATTCACTTAACATCAGGTGAATCGCTTGGCAAATTTTCACATAAAAAAAATAAAAACTTACTTTCGAAAGAAGAGTTCTACATATTGATCTCTCCACGTTGCCGACATTTTCTTGGAGGGCTTTGAGGAGATGGCATTTCATACAGCTGCCATCTATCCAAGATTTTTCGCGGATAACATGCTCTTTCTTTTGCGCCGCGCAAATCATTTTCTGTCTCGCTCATGAAACCTATCGGTGTATAGTCGAGAATGACATTGACATTATTCAGTTTTGTGTAGACGATTTTTGGTTCTATTAAGTGGTATATTGATTTTTGTGATCGACGGTACGCGCGGGCTCTACACACACACTCCGACGCAATTAAGTTTTTCGCAACCTACTTCCTTACACTTACAATTATCAATTCATACTTGCCTGGTACTTTAATCAAGCTCGCTCAACGTATATTCTGTTAATAAGTGAAACTGCTTACCTTTTTCTAAACAAATATCGCGATAACTGTATAACATTGATAATGTAACGTTATTGAAGTTGTAAGGAACAACGATTCTTATAAGCACTACAAGTTCAATGTTGTTTTTTCTTGCCGTGGTAGATAAAATACATTGTTAATATAATAGCAAAGCAAATGAATTTGGGTATCAGCTATACGATTGTATAACAAATGCGCGGGAAAAATCTTCTCTATAAGTCTCTAGACTCATTGCAACATCAACACATGTGGCGCCATGTTAAGTTTTTCGGAATTGTCTTAGGAACGTTCCACATTAATTAGCATGTCATCATTGATTATTTAGAGTTGTGTAACTGACACTTTTGCGTATCGCTTAAGCACATAATCCTACCGTCCCATTGTTACCACGTAATTATTATAATTGAGTTGTTTTTAGGGTTCCGTACCCAAGGAGTAAAACGGAACCCTATTACTTAGATTCCACTGTCTGTCTAAGTTTGCAATATAGGCTTTATCTCAAGAACGTGTTAATTAGATAGTTGAAATTTTCACAGATGATATATTTCTATTGCCGCTATAACAACAAATACTAAAAAACAGAAAAAAAAATATTAAAGTGGGGCTCCCATATAACAGGCATTATTATTTTGCCGTTTTTATAGATAATGGTACGGAAACCTTTGTGCTCGGGTCCGACTCGCACTTGACCGGTTTTTTTAGTTGTACTACGTAAAGCGCAGATTCGACCGCACATGCAATACTGATCTCAGCTCTGGATTGGGGCGCCCCAATAATAGGTTTTTACATTTAGCCGCATCCAATGTAGAGCTGCACGAATCTTCGGTGACCAAGTCCTTTCCAATACACAGCAGTGTCTAGGCATTAGGTTAGACTCAAAAGCAGTTCTCTTTCCGGACTTTGTGTCCAATCAAGCTTTATAAACTCTAAAAACTCCTCACATAAGCAACAAATACTGTTTTTCCTCGTACAAAAAGATAAAGTAACTCTACAATATTTCGATTAGTCCAAATCTTTTTTATGGGATTAAGGCGCGCGTGGCGCAAGCTGAACTATGCCATTATGTCTCAACGACGCTATGATTAATGCTCGAACTCGTAAATACAACTGCACAAGGAAGTTGCCAAGCATGAAGCCAAGGGCATATGTCAAAAGAAATATAGCGGAGCGATAGATGACTAAACGACGTTAGTTAGCGTCCATTAATAAAAAACCTGATATCTTGTATACATGTATAATATAAACGTGAGGATAGTCTTGCCACCTGCGGTAAACAAATTCTTAAAAGTAGGCGCCAGCTGCCATATTCACCAAACAAAAGGCAAAAGCAGAATTGCTTCTATGCCAGTCTTCTGTGGCCCTGGTACTCCCGGACGAGCATATCTATTCGAACTTCAGAACTCTCAAAAACATTTGACAATCCAAGTTTCAATATTACCGTTGTTCCTTTAAGCCCATTTTAGCAGGAAATGTGTAAAATCCGTGCTTACATTGCCTACAAGGAACCAGCCTGTTTATTAGACTCTACGAATATTATACAGCTACAACAAATTAACCATGCAAATTATTTTATATATATTATTTAATAAGGCAGTAAAGTGCCCATTGAGGCATGATAGAGAACGTGAAAAGCGCGGGAAACGGGCGAGTCGCCGTTCTTTTTTTGAAAGCGCGACCGACGCGGTTCCCGCCCCCGACCGCGATTGGCCGATAGCTGGGCGCGCGGCGATGCGCCGGCGCTGATAACGTTTCGAATTACGGCGCGGTATTCCACTGCGACGTGACCCGAAGCGCGAGCGTCACTTTTTTCCCGCCAAAACGTTTGATTGGCGGGTGCTTTTACGTCCAATTCGCCTTCGTTTTTTGTATCTGTTGACGCGTGACCAGCTGTCAGCATAGAGCGCCATTAACACACCAGACAAAAAAGTTTGTTTTCATTCCTTTTTCGATTGACTTTTGTTTTTTTCATTTTGAAAACTACTTACTGCATTGAGATGACCGCTTTATTTATTGGAATAGTCAATTGAAATCCACTAAGCGCTTTTCTCGCTACGTGCAGGTCCAAGATCATAACACTCGTTATGTTTTATAATAGTTAATTTTACATGAAGGAGTGATTGGTTATGATAAATTATAGAGTAATTAAGACGCTCTGTACTCATGTATAGCCTGGCGGATGGGGGAAGGCCGTCTCGCTTGTAATACTTCTGGGCGGTTCTTACTTAGTGGAGCTGACTCTATTGTATTTCTCCGGCTAAATTGGTAGTTTATCTTCTCTTCAATTCCGTTTCTTACACGATCATACAAAAATACTCATACCTGGCATCTTGAATGTTTCCTATATCCAAGAAAATTTTCATCTCTCATACATTACACATCAGTTAAGGAAGTGTCCTTAATTCCAATATTGTAAAGAGCTCTACGAGTCTAGCTCTTTACAATATTGGTAAATTTAGTGGTTTTCAGTCAATTTGGAAGTAAAATATTAAATAAAAAATATTAAGGACAGCATTTCAAAATCAAGTAAGCCATGCCACTTACCGGTCATTTACTTTCTAAACTTCACTCAATTACATTGAAGCGTATTACAAATCAAAAACTTCAATGTTTGAGTGGTACACTCAATATGTATATTCAAGCGAATTTAATAGATAAAATGTGAAAAAAGACAGTTTCGACTCCAGACATTAAGGGCCGCACTTTTAATTATTAGCAACTTATCTGAAACCTAGGGTACCTACTCACATAACATCAAAACAAAAACCTCTAATCAAAAATCTATTTTCGTGTCATGTTAATGAAGCATGTATCATCAGGAAGCGGTTTCGCCAAGCAACACCCTGCGCCTTTGCACAAATCGGCAGGTCTCAGGATTTACTGCGACCTCACAGAAGACCGACGTGAAATGTAAGTGTTATACTTCTGTGTTTCGTTTGATGAGTTAGGTAAACGGAGCCCACTTTATTAAAACGTGGCAAAGCATCTGCAATCTCCGGTTGTGCAAGTTTCACCTTAAAAGTACCGATTTTCGCGTCCTGTTAATTAAGCAACATTTCGACCTTATAATTAAACAACATACAAGCGTCTTCATATAGGACTGACTACTGCTAAAGCATTCAATATTTGGAGCGCCATTCCAAGACAATTTGATGCTCCTCCTTCTTACGGTAATCAGGTAGGAACCGACTACCTGCTTCGACTATTCGACGGCACGGTAGCGACCACGTCTTACACAGGTTGCATCTCTACGTTTAGAATTGGGCTTCATAACGCGCCAAGCCGCTAGGGTTGCCATATTTAGTATTGAACTATATTTCCGGTCTGCGTACTATAAGTTGATAAAATATATAGTACGCATAAGAACTATATTTTAATTGAATGGATCAATACATAATCGTTACAATATATAATTATATATAAAAATAAAAAATGTTATGTATTCTTTTCTTTATTTACAGTGTACTATATTTTCATGAAGTGTACAAAATTTTGTTATACGCGTTGATAATCATGATACTTTTAAATACAAGCATTATTCACAACTCACAAATAACGCAGCTCACAAATAACCTTACACTGCGTAAATCTGAACCAACTTAACATAGAGTACAAACCAATTTAGGACTAGAAAAGTAGGTTATTTTGATGGGTCCCTCGATGGCATCGCCATCTGGCAAATGACAAATAGTTTCCAAGGTATATGTAACGGTTGACAAGCTCCAATAACTCCCTACCAACGGTAATAGCCACTTGCGAGTCACCGGTCATACCTTCGTCTTGGAGATATTAATCTTGAGGCCCACAGTAATAGAAGCATCATGAAGTTGTCGTAACATTTCTTGGCGATCTTCCATCCACTCAATGAACAGTATCAAGATGTGACAAGAAGACACCATTAATGTGAATTCCTTAACCCTTACAATCAAGCATTCCCTCAACAGAGCAGTAAATCGGGCCAGTTTTGCTGAGGTGCTACCTTAAGCGGTCATCAATCTCTGTCCGACATAGAACAGGGCCCTATTTCGAGGCGGCCTCGCTAGAAAAATCCGTCGTCATTACGAACGGGCTGAAACGTCGAAGGGACCGCGTAATATCTAATTAGTCGGATGATTTATGTCAATTTATGTATGGGGGGGGGGGGGGGGCAATTATCGTGTGGCTATTAAGAATACTGACCTTCGTAAATGCACTCCGCTATGGGCAACTTGATTTATAGCGATGAAGACTTGAACGTAATTTTTTTCTCTTTTTTTTATCATTCTTTTGTATTTGTCTTTCATTGAGCCACTTTGGAAAGTTTATACTGTTCTTACTTATTGTAAATACCCCTACGTATAACAGCCCAAAGCATTAAATAACCATTAAGAACGAAATAAACTTTTAAAAGGTATAATTTTCGATTCGTACAAAACGACAACTTTTTCGCGCCACGCGTTTTGACACCAGCGACAGTCATAGATCAAGTTAGCGAACCGTAAACTACCCTTCGTGCGCGAGTCCGACTCGCACTTGGCCCGGTTTTTATTTCTATTTTTTTAAACAAATCTAAATTTACATTTTTAATCATGTAACATTCATTATATCAAATATCTAAAAAAATTAAATTATCTAAGTAATCATCAGGATAATATAATCATCATCAATATAAGTATCTTGATGTTGCAACATTTAATGAAAAATAATTTTTTTTTAAATTATTAAAAATATTCTGTACAAGTTAGATATAATATGTACAAGGGAGAAATAATTGGATAAATTGTTAATAATTGCATTGCCCGGAAGACGCAGGTCGAACGTAACCTTCCATCATCATCATCATGATTTCAGCCTGTTTGAGTCCACTGCTCAACATACGCCTCCACCAGACTGCCACGAAGCACGATCTTGAGCCACCTGCATCCATCGACTTCCCGCACATTGCACAGGTCGTCACTCCATCAAGTGGGGGTCGTCCCACACTGCGTCCTTCCATGTACCTACAAAAATATAATAGTTTAACAAAACTATAAAAACACGCTTTTGTAGATAACCGAACAAAAAGTAGAAAATAATCTTAAATAAATTTAAATTTCAATAAGAAAAAAATATTGCAGAAAAGTGCGGGGTGCTTGAAGTAAATTGTTATATTTTAATGACAGTATATAGTATACTGGTAAAAGTAGAGTCATAATGGAAATATCTAAAAAGCATTTTTGTTTTGTTAATCACACTTCATAATTTAAATTTATTGATAACTATTTTCTACTTTTTAGTTCTACTAAAGTATAAAAGCGTGTTTTTTTTTTAAATGCGTACCTGACACAAGGTTTCATTCTGCTTTAAAGATTCCGTTACATACATACATACAGGTGAAACATATGGGTGAAAGATTATTTTAATAAGCGTTTTAAATCACATTCAATTTTATCTTGAGTGTAGAAATTAGCTCTAAAAATAAAAACCGTAAAAGCTAATAAATAGTTACGATTAGTGACATTTTACATTACTGCTTAGATTAGTTTTTTCCAATTCAATATAAGTACAAGTACAAACAAAAATATGGTCAAGTAGCAATCATGTCATTATCCCAATAGAACGCCCATCGAACGGTCGTGAGTAAAAATTGTATTTCGAAATTGGCTCAAACGGTCTATTCCGAGTAAAAAACTCAGTCTATCCGACCCCTACAATCGATGTGGCATATGGTCCGGCTACTTACGAAATGGTAGATATCGTAACCGATCATTATGAAAAAGATTCTCTATTCGGAAATAGGAAAAAACGGCCAGCGCGTGCCTTTGCCGGGGCGCTTAAATGTCGAAATTAGTGGCAAATTATGTTATTGTTATTCGATCTATATTTCGATCCGAAAGAAAATTCCCCGGTGATTCTGATTTTTAAAAAGAGCACAAGGCGTGTTTTTTTAATGCAGTAATTCATTGAATGCCGTGCGTCTGTTTAATAGTGTAACGAACAAACCCGTGCGCATATTCGACGCATTTAATATCTTGACACTTTTTCAATTTAACATTTTTACCATATCATTATATCATTAGTGACACTATTATATTACATTATATTATTAGTAACATTTCGGTATTCAAGTTTTTATATAATATATAGATCCGACAATCTAGATTTTAGATCCATCATTTTTTTAATATCATACAGCTTATTGATCTAATATTTACAAGATCTATCAAAAATTACATATTATCTAATAAACCTAATTGAATACAATCTAGATTATTAGGCGAGAGTGTATGTAAGAGTGAAATTTAAAAATTAAGTAGTTTTTTTTTATATTTTTCCATTGAATAATAATTAAACGAAAATCTTTAAATGATAAAAATTTTCGACTAACTAACTGGCTAACGGAAAATTACCGATGTTTCTTTAAAACTCTATCGTCCATTCATTTAAGTAAAGTTTTACGCTTAAGATAATTTTACAAATAGACATCAGTTTGTTTGGAGAATTGTCTCGGTTGTATTCATAAGACCAGTCGGGGTTCATTAGAAAAGTCTCTTCAGCCATTCATTGCAAACCATTCAAAAAATGGTTTGCAATGAACATTGCGTCTACTTACATATGTATGAGTAAAGTTCAACAAGTAATCGGTAACTAACACGTTATTAGATACCGACGATTTGTTGAATTTTACTTGTCTTGTCTTAATATTATTAGTAATAAGATGAACGTACCAAAGCTACAAATAAGAAAAAATACAGCCACTTAATTCACCAACGCTCCAAAAACGCGTAAAAATTTAGACAAAAAAAGTTACAAAGCACGTTTAAAGTGGCCAATTCGAGTCCATGTTACCCTCCTGTTCCCTGCTATCCGGCCAATTACTGACGGTGAGACATTGCGCTTCCAGAGTCTGCCGCCGACTCTTGAGTCGTCACGATAAATTGA